TTTTTTTTTTTTTTGTCATCAGAATCAATTAGCTATTTGATAAAATGTAAAAATAAATAGATAATATTTAAAATAAATAGCTTGAAGGAAAAAAATGTCTAAAAATATTTTTGTCAGTGTTTAATTTTCAAAATATTTAGTGTGAATTTATAATTAGTTGACATAATTAGTAGGAAATATTATATAATTAATTATTTTTAAAAAGTATTATTTTACTTAATTAATGTGAAATGTAACGGTTACTCTCTACAATTAAATGAATATAGGAGCGGAAAAACTTGGAGATAACTCTAAATTGGATAGGTCATAATTACATATAAACATGTACGCTATTAACTGAAAGCGAATTACGGATAACTAATTGTATTAATAGACTACAGATAGCGAATTGTAATAGATAATTTGACTAACAGATTGTAATAGGCATTTGTAAATAATTACTTTAACTAGTTTTTATTTGGTGTTTTTTTAATTCACTACAAAAATAGAGTTCTATTAAAAAAAAAAAATTTGTCACAATATCTACAATTGTTGTCACTGTATTTATTGTCACTATATCTAGAACAATTGTAGATATAGTGACAACAATTGTAGAACTGACAGTAGATATAGTGACAACAATTCTAGATATAGTGACAAAAATTTTTTCACTAGAACTCTATTTTTTTGTAGTGATTATAGTTAATTTTGTGGATATATTAAAATAATATCTAAAATAAAATAATTAAAATTGATATGATGAAAAGTAGGAGAAAAATGATTGGAAGTGATAATTACTTAAAATTATGTGAGTTGATAAATAGTGAATTATAGTTGATGTGATGTATAAGAATGATTGATTGATATTACTTAATTATATTAATAATATTGAAGATAGTGAAGTGAGTTAAAGTTGAGTTAAATTTGAGTTTTAATTATTTTTTTTTAATAAGATTGATAAACAGTCACCCCCTTTATGAATATGACGGGTCAAGTCTAGCAGTTAAAAAAGCTGGGACAACAAAGAAAACTTCTCTGTGGCATCTATATATAAAAAGCTCATTGAGACCAAATGGATGAACATATATTTAGCAGAGTCGAGCACCAGTTGTAAGGAAATCAGAAAACCTAGAAGAAGAACTTGGAGTATGAAAGTTAAAGGGAAACTAAAGCACTTTGTGCGGAAAGGAATCAACAACATACTTCCAGTGCTTAGTAATATCATTAACAGAGGAGTGCAAGTGGATCTTTGGTGCAATATGCGTGGGGAGGACGTAGAGACTCAGGAGCATATGCTTTTCCACTGCAAAAGGGCTCAACTCATCTGGAAGCTCTCCCAATCACTTGAGAATTCAATCATAGCACAGGGACTTGTTTCAGAACCTGGTGGATGAAGATTTGCTCTCTACCCCTCAAGCCCATTAATGATGAACGAATCCAGCTCACAACATATTTGTTGTGGTGGATTTGGAAAACCCGCAATCTTTGGGTTTTCCAAAACTTCCTCAGATCAGAGATAGACATTGTCAATTTAACTTTGAGAGAATGAGAGGAATTCTCCAGTTTAGCTAGTTAGGATGTTGTTTAGTCTGTTTCTTTTTCTTGCTAGTTAATTTGCTAGTTCTTTTTGTTGCTTTAGTAGTCTTTTGATAGCTCACTAGGATCCTCTTGGGTCAGTGGTAAGCTATTTTTGTTGCCATCCTTTGGTTAGGATTTGGGAGAATGAGCCTCGCTCTAGTTCCTTCGGTTATCAATGCTAGGGATAGACTCATTCTTCTGTTGCTTGGAAGCTATGCTCTTCTATTGCTATTTTGCTTATGCACGTTTGTATAGAACATTGTTCTCTCTATTTTTTGGTATAATATCCTGTTGTTCTGGAAGAAAAAAATAAGTCTAGCCAGTTAAAACCTCTAATTTGATTAAAGAAAAAGCCTCTAATTGGATTGTTTAATAAGTAGCGGTTTGAAATAGTTTTTTCTTTTTATTTTTCATTCAAAATATTTATGTCAAAAAAGCTTGATTCAGGAGGCCCTCCAGAGGGAAGGACACCCAAGGTAGAGACAGACAACCTCTGGTGAGAGGAGATGTCGAAGTGAACCTAGACATGGCCATGGGCTGTCTCGGCCCGTGGTCCCGGCCCGCAACCGGCCCGTAGGTTGCCGGTTTCGAGAACCGTCAGTGGCTTTACGGGTCGTTTTCGGGTCCGATTTTTCTATTTTTGGTCCCGACTGGCTGGGACAGGGTCGGTTCACGGGCTTGGCCCTTGGTTTTTGCCGGGCGGGTTAAGGGTCACCCATAG